GCTCCGAAAAAATGCGAACCACAACAGCAAGAGAGAACACTTAAAAAGATTGAACCTTGTCCTATTGACTGCGAGCCTCACCCACTATGCTCTGCATTATGAATGACATGTTCGAATAAAGCAGTCCAATCGTTAGCGAGACAAGATCATAGAAGACAACACATCAAATTCCTGCGGAAGTACTGGCAGGCCACATGGCATTTTTTGGGAATTTTCGCAGCGTTTTGTAAGAAGTCCTGCGGAAGTTGCTTTTCGGAAATTCCGCAGGATTTTGTAGCAACTCCTGCGCTTCGGAATTTCCGCAGCATTTCGCAACAAGTCCTGCGAAAGCTTGTTTTGTAAAAAGTCCTGCGGAAGTTCCCGTTTTCACTTTTGCATTAGTAGACAAACTCCTGCGGAACTTCTGCAAATTTGGCTTATTCTGCGGAAGTTCCGATAAATTGTCTGAGGAGTCACACTTGTATACTGGAGAGCCAGCCGTCTGCGCTGCAATCGATCTACATAACTTTAACAGCATCAGTCTTTCTCTACTAATCGAATATTTCGCATGTAAGAATTAATTCAATTTAGACAGATCATGTCCGAGAGGATTACAACAGTCTCGGAAGAACTCCATGAAAAGGGGGTATGTAGGGCGGTTTTTCGATTTTTTTGCCTTTTTCCAATATTAATTTTTTTTTGCTCAGATGAGGTGGTGCGATATGTTCGCTGAGGAGGATAATCGAGCTATAGAAACTTATACGATAGAAACTGTTGGTGAAAGTGCGCAACAAGCTGCTGAGAGAGAGAAACTGAGACGCGATATCGATAGGAAGAGAATGGAGCTGGCGCTAAAATATGAGAGGTTAGTCTTTCAGGTACGATTTTTTAATTAATTAGAAAATCGAAAGTGTAGATTTCGTTGAGACTACCTGGAGTTCATTAGCTTTCTCTTGCAGTTTATTATGGAATTCATTGGAATTCATTGATTTCGTACGGTAGTCCAGTTGCACTTGGTACGGTAGTGATACGTGGATTGGCCAAAGTTCCAGTACTGCTCAAACTTTCTAATATCTGCTCCAGGACGAAGGTGGTCGCCTAATTTTCAAAGCATGCAAGGCAGACGCGCATGCTGCGCGCGAGCAATTGTCAATC